AAATATTAAAATTTCTAGACATGAATGAAAATGAAAACACAACGTACCAAAAATCTATGGGACACAATGAAGATAAGACTACAGGAAAGCTTACAGTACTAAGTGCCTACATCAAAACATTGGCAAGATCTCAAATTAACATGATGATGCACATGAAGGTCTTAGAAGAATGAGAACAAACACCACCCAAAAACAAAGGAATAAGACAAGTGGACACAAGGTGTCACAAATGGAAAAGGAAGGAATCTAAAGATCTTCATTTCAGATTATACAATTCTATACGTAAGAGACCCTAAACACCAGGATTCTCCTAAAGCTGAGAAGTATATTGAACTAAGTAGCCAGATATACAGTTTACTCACAAAACGCAGTAGCTTCCTATATACTAGTGACAAACGTATCTAGAAAGAAATCAGGGAAGCAATCCCATTCACAGTAGCCTAAAAAAATCCTTGGAATTAATTTAGCCAAGGAAGAAAAAGATTTATACAATGAAACCTTTAAGATACTGAGAAAAGAAACTGAAGCTATCAGAAGATGGAGAGACCCATATTCATGGATTGGTAGGATTAATATTGTGAAAATGGCTGTACTACCAAAAGTAATCTACAGATTTAATGCAATCCCATTGAAATTTAAATGAAATTCTTCACAAACATTGAAAAAATAATCTTGAAATTCACATGGAAGCACAAAAGACCCTGGAGAGATGAGATAATCCTCAACAACAAAAACACTGCTATAGGTATCAGCATGCTTCAAGTTATATTATAGAACTACAGTAGTAAAAACATCGTGATATTGGCACAAAAACAGACACACTGATCAACATAGAATCGAGGACCCAAATATAAGCCACATATCTATTGCTACCTGATTTCTGACCAAGATGACAAAAGTACACATTGGAGAAAAGGCAGCATCTTCAACAAACGGTGCTGGGAAAACTAGATGTCTACATGTAGCGGAATGAAACTTGATCTTTTCTCTCACTCTGCACACAAATCAATTCCAAATGGATCAAAGATCTCATTGTTAGACTGGAAACTCTGAAACTTCTAGAAGGAAGAGGAGGGAGTGCACTTCAGGCTCAGATAAGGACCTTTTGAATAGGACTCTAGTTGCCTAGGAAGTAAGACCAGCAGTCAACAAGTGGGACATCACAAAATTTAAAAAGCTTCTATGTTGCAAAGTAAGCTGTTAATTGACTGAAGAAGCAGTTTATAGAATGGAGAAAAAAAATCTTTGGCAGCTATACATATGTCAGAAGATTAGGGTCTAGAATATAAATGGAACTAAAAACACTAAACAATGAAAAAAACACTTTTTTTCAAAGCAGGTATGAAACTGAACAGAGTTCTCAGAAGAAGAAATATAAGTGACTAGCAAATATTTTTAGAAGTGTTAACCATCTTTGACTGTGAGAGCCATGCAAATTAAAACTACTTTGAGATTTCATCTTACCCCAGTTAGAATGTCTATGATTAAGTAAACAAATGACAACAAATGCTGGAGATAATGTGGGGAATGGAAAGTCCCTCACACACTGTTGGTTGGAGTACAAATTGGTGTAGCTACTTTGGAAATCAGTATGCTGGTTCCTCAGAAAACTAGAAATAGGTCCACCATATGACCCAACTATCCTACTCCTGGGCATATGCCCAAAGGACTCTATTTTCTACTGCAGAGACACATTCTACCCCTCTGTTCATAATAGCACATGGAAACAACCTAGATGTCCATCAACTGATGAATGGATAATGAAAATGTGGTGCCTAAATGCAATGGAATTTAATTCATCTGTACAGAAAAATGAAATTATAAATTTTTCAGGTTAGTGGGTGGAGGTGGAAAATACACTGAATTGAGGTAAGCCAGACCCAGAAAGACAAATGTCACATGTTCGCACTCATATGTGAATCTTAGCTTCAAATCTCTAGACTTGTGTGTGTAATTTGGAGTGTGTGTAGAATCAGGAAACTATAAAGGGACCATTGGTGAGGAAAGGGAATAAAGATCCTTGCAGGGGGTGTATATAGAACACAGGTGATATAAAGGGGAATGAGAAATAATGAGGAGGGAGGTGTAAGTGGCGAGAGGGATGGAAGAGTAAGACTGAGGAGGGGTTGGGGGAGGGATACTCTAAGAATGTTTGAAATGGCCACATGGAAAGCTACCATTTTACAAGCTACACACACACACACACACACACACACACACACACACATTCATATAAAAGAGTTTAATTAGAGTTACCTTAGAGAGGATTATGCTCATTCCAGAAGGCACAGGTTGCTAAATAAGAAGCCCAGTACCAGATGTGGGATAACTTCCCTCAAGTTTTTGCTTAGTCATGTCCAAGAGACGCCCCCCCCCCCAAAAAAACAATATAGGGTATTGCCATTGCTTTCGGTTGCCCACCAGAACTTAATGGTAGCACCCTATTGCTGAAGACACCACACACATTGATCACAGTACTTGGAAAAATCAAGTTGGTGCTGACCAGGAAGCTTCCTCCCTGTTTGCTACCTCCAATACCATTTGAAAGTGCTATACATGCAGACAGGTGGGGAAAAGTCAACAGTCTTAGCCGGCTGTGAACCCCACAGACTACAATAATGATTGGTATGGCAGAATATGCCCATGGGCACAACAGTGGCACAAATGGTATGGGGGTAATCAACTATTTTCTGATTAGATCTAAGACTTGTTGCACAGGAGGAAACACATCCCTAGTACTGTAAATTTGACCAAACCCCCATGGTTTGGGAGCTCATAGGCCCCAGAGGTAAAGCTTCTACTATTATTTTGCTAAATGGGTATTGTATCAAACTGTCCTATAAATCCATATCCATATGTAGATTGCTGCAGCTCTCTGACCTCATCAGAAGCTTCTTTGTGTAGTAGATGGTGGTCAACATAGAAGCTCACAACTGGTCAAAGTGCAGAGAATAAGTGTCAGTGGAATACTCAACCACAAATGGGATGTCGGTATCACATCCTCTCCCCAAGGCTAAGGGACCATTGTGGAAGAGGATGCAGAAAGATGGTGAGAGTCAGATGTCAGGAGGACTGGAGCAAAACCACATCTCCTGGACATGACAGGACTAACTTACACTCTAACTCACAGAAGCTGTGGGTGTCTACAACAAGACCTGCACAAGATCAAGCCAGCCAGTCAAAACTCTAATGTGGAGTGGAAAGGATGGTTCACAAGCCCCCCACCTCCAACTGGGGAGCTATTGTCAGTTGATGGTTTGTGGGAGAGAATCAGTCTTCCTTAAAGGTATGGCTCCTGATAGGTTGACTAGGTTCCAGTGGATGGCTCCACACCCCGAAATATATGGACTGCACAGATTTGAGTGGATGAATTATTAAGTTAAAAAGAGGACACCACATTGGGGGGGTAGGTTCTTGGGGAGGACTGGGGGCGTGTATACATTATATGACATTCTCAAAGAAGATAAAAATATTTATTAAACAAATACCTGACAGAAGAAACTTAAGGGAAGGAAGATTTATTTGGGCCCACAGTTTAAGAGATGTTGCAATCCATCACGATGAACAGTTGTATCAGCTGGAGTACAAGGCAGTTGGTAACACTGTATCTGCAATCAGGAAGCAGAGAGATGATTGCTGATGCTCAGCTCCCTTTCTCATTTTTATTCAGTCAGGGACCAGGTCCTTGGGATGCTCTTCTTCTCAGCTAGGTCTTCTAATCTCAGTTAAAACTTTCCAGAAACATCTTCACAGACAAATCAGAGCTGTCTGTCCTGGGTGATTCTAAGTCTAGGCAAGTTGACAATGAAGGCTAACATCCACAATATTAGACATATTTTGAAAGCCATTACTGTCCAAAAACTGTGAATACAAAAACTTAGCACAAACAAAATGTGACAGTTTTTATAGGTCTGTCACACTAGTGCTGTGGGCTTGAGTAACTCTTTATATAATGTCGTTTATAGCCATAGATTGCTAACATGCTGAAAACTAAAGATTTCAGAATTGTGAACCAAAGAATCATTTTATATTGAATCCATACACTGTGGTATTAGTCCTATAGTTGATATGCATGGGATTCCACTGGTTAATTGTCTACGATCTGTGGAAAATTTGTTAAATTAGCAAGATTAGATTTATTATCCAAAAGAAAGCCTAGTAGGTAATTTCAGATGTTCACAAGAAATAAATTTTCCCTCCAATTCACAGCAACGGTGATACACATTAAAGACAATAGTGTACAGAATACATTTGTGAAGGATGAATACTCTTGTGTTGTTAATGAACGCCTAAAGTGCTTTTGATAATTAAAAGGATAAAATAGTTTGTCTTGAAGCCTGAGGATTGTTACAAACCTGTAGACAAAATACTCAGGATCTCTTCCCCAGAGTTGTTTTCAGAGATGAGCAATGATGAATTCAGGACAATTTCTACAGTGAGAACTTGTTGCTTGCAGGTGCCACTAATAATGAATAATAAAGGTAGCATACTTTGTAAAGTGAAAAGCACATTTTAACAGTTTATTTGATTACCTTTGTAGTCTACTGTATACTTTCTAGATCACTGGCACCAATACAATATACTTTGGGAGTTGACAGGTGTTGGGGTGATTTGTTCTATTAGCAATGCCCGTACCATGACCATTAAACAATGAGCCCGGTCACTATGGTTCGCCACTTCCACACAACTCCAACTTACTATGCAGCTATGTTGAATTTTCTGAAGTAAAGTTTAAATCTTGTTTCTCCATTTAAACAACACCAAAAAGCAAAATAGGAAGAAGGATCTAGTGACCTTACGGAAAGATAATAAAAGTCCTTCTCAAGTAAACCTAAAATTTAAGGAAAGTTATGGCAATTAATATAATAGTAAAACTTTGACAATCCAAATATTTCCTCAGTTTTTCTCCTTTTTATGTCCATACTTCTAATTTCATTGCCATGAGAGCTATGCATTTAAAACAATATAGTATGAATAAAGTTTATTAAAATGCTAATTTAAGACATGCATTCATTTTCTCTTGCTCAAGAAGGATATAATGAGTGGAAGGTTCTTTGTTTCAAGGCTCAATGCATTGGAAAAAATGTGCCTTGAATGCTTAGAGGGAGAAAGAAAAGATAGGTGTACAGTTTTCATCTCTTCCGTGTTTTAAGTCGGGGGATAAATGTGAGGCTGTTGAATATATGTGACAACAGTTCCCATCAGAGTCTGGTCCAAAAGTGCTGTTCTGAGATTGGCCCTCCCAGTTTGTGTTTCCCTTTGGGGACCTGCTCAGGACTTTCATAGGCTTTGTTGATATAAAATCCATTTTTGCCATCGCCTGCATAGTCTGTCCTGTTTGTGGGAGGCCAGGTAGAGTCTTCTGCCAGCTTTTTTTGCCAGATCCTATACTGGCTTTTTGAGTAGAATCCAAATTCTTTCTTTATCAACAGCCAGAGCTCTCTGTTTTGAAGGATGGCATCCTAGAAAATTAGGGCGGAGGAGGAACAATGAAACCATCGTGCTTATGCAAGTGAGCCCTCACAGCCGACAGCACTCCAAGCCTGCAGCCCCGGGCTTCCTTTATTACGTGCTCAGTGCTATGGCTTCTACTAATATTTTCCATAAGAAGCAGAGGTTATTTCTGGTCATAGAATTCTGCCCTTTTATTTCTACAAATTTTTGGGTTAAATGCTGGCTAGTGATTCACTTAACAGCTCTTTTACTAGCAGGCTGAAATGATAACAGAAAAACAAATTAAATATCAAGAAAAGAAAAAAAACAAAAGGAAGAGGAGGGAGGGGAAGGAAAAAGAGAAAAGAAGAGACAATAATCACTATTAGTCTCACTATTTTCCACTTGTTACATACAAAGTACCAAATATTGTTTATTGAATGAATTGGAAGTTCATAGCAATGCAATAGCTTTCTTTAAAGATTTATTTTTATTTACGTGTGTGTGTGTGTGTGTGTGTGTGTCTGGGCATGTGTTTGTAAGTTCCTTCAGAGGACAGAAGAGGATATTGGATCCCCTGAAACTGGAGTTACAGGCAGTTGTTAAACCTCCCAGGGTGGGTGCTGGGAACTGAAGTCACTATTTTCTTAACCATAGACTCATCTCTTCAGACCCTCAAATAGTTTGTTTCCCACTTTTTTGAGTTCCGCTTTTTCTTTGTGAAGCTTTTACATATAACAATAGAATTGATCCAGTTTTGCCTTGTACTTTTGTTTATGCTAGACTTTCTTTATAACTTTAGTGGAATTTCATCTTCTTAAACATTTGTTGTTGTTTGACACAGGGTCTCACTATGCAGCCCTGGCTAGCCTGGAACTCGCTATGTACATCAGGCTGGCCTCCATCTCTCAGAGATCCACCTGCTTTTGCCTGCCTAGTGCTGGGATTAAAGGCCTGCACCACGATACCTGGCCCCCTTTTAAAATATTGTAGTAAAAATAAAGCTACAGTCACTGGAAGTGGTAGTACGTGTCTTTGATACCAGCACCCAGGAGGCAGAGGCAGACAGATCTCTGAGATTGAGGCAAGCCTGGTCTACATAGCTAGTTCCAGACCAGATAGGACTGCAGGGAGATCATGTCTCAAAAAACAAAACCAAAAGCAAACAAAAACAAAACAGGGCTGAAGAGATGGCTTAGTGGTTAAGAGCACTGACTGCTCTTGCAGAGGACCAAATCTCCATTCCCAGCACCCACAAAGCAATCTGTAACTCCAGTTCCAGGACATCTAATACCCTCTTCTGGCCTCCACAGGCATTGTGTACACGTAATGCACTTATAGTCATACAGGCAAAATACTCCCACACATAAAATAAAAAATAAAAACAAGCCAAAAAAATTTAAAAAACAAAATGAAAGCAAACAAAAAAAAGCTGCAGTCATCTTTAATGACAGTAACACTTCTTCAAATTAAGTTTTTCTGACTCATTTAGGGATATCTTAAAACTTTAATGTGAAGATGGAATACCTGAATTAAATAATATAATAAATTTTACATTAATTGTATGTTATGTATTTATTTAATCAATCCTTTCACCAAGGGATTCACCTTATAGTACCTAAATCTTATCTATGCTTTAACTTTCTTTTTAAAATGTAGCACCGAGCCTTTCGCTGCGTGGGTAACTCACTGAGTGACAAAGGAAGTAGAAGAGAAACCTCAGGAGAAACTTTCAAGGCTGATGAGCTTGAACAGTGACTTCCCTTCTCTCCCGATTGGGGAAACCCTCCTGAAGACTGCCCTTCACTCAGCCTGAAAGATCTCCCTGCATTTGGAGCTGAAGGTCACCTGGCCTTGCTTCTAGATCAGGGAGAATACTGGAGCAGTAATTGCAGTGCCTCTCTGATAACTATCAGCATTTGGCCTGATGTTTTGCTTTCTATGGAGAGAGAGGAAACCGTGAACATAGCTCAGCAGCCTTTAGAAACATTGTAAGCCATTCTCCAAAGAATCCCTCCCAAAGAGATCATGCACAGTTGGAAAAAAAAAAAAAAACTAAACAACCCTTAGCAACTGTGCTAGACAGCTTCAGTTGTCATCTTGACACCTGGGAAGAGGGAACCTCCACTGGAGAATTTCTCTATTCGATTGGCTGTGGACATGTTTGTGAGGCATTTTCTTGACTATTGAGTGACATGGGAGGGCCCAGGGCCCAGCCCACTGTGCGCAGTGCCATACCTGGACAAGTGGTCATGGGTTGTTTAAAAAAGGCTGAGTGAGCCAGAGGAGCAAAGCAGTAAGCAGTGTTCCTCCATCGTCTCTGCTTCAGCTTCTGTCTCTAGGTTCCTGCCTTGAGTTCCTGCTCTGACTTCCCGCAAAGATGAACTATGACATGGAAGTGTAAGCCAAATAAATCCTTTCCTCCCCCGGTTGGTTTTGGTCAGTGTTTTATCACAGCAACAAAAAGCAAACTAGAACAGTAACTTTTTGTGGGGACTAAAGTAGTTGCTCTAAAGTGTATGAACATATGTTGAAAATGAGAACACAGATTTGCATAACTCCTCTGAAAAAAAATTATATAAACCATATACTTTACCTCCACAAAGAAGGCCACGCAAAACTGGATAAAGGCTGCCACCAAAATGGAGACTCTCCATGACGTTATGGTTGGAATGAACTGTTAAAAGAGAACTACCACCATTGTATGTTGCATACTTAACATTCTGAAAAGGCACATACGCTTTACCTTCATCTTTTTGAATTTATATATTTGTAATAAGTCTGAATTTTGAGGGTGGATTTTTTTTTCTACGTTGCTGATGAAAAAGCTGAAGGGAGGTGCCTTGTCTGAGGACTGACTCAAAACCAGTAGATAATGGCAGGGCCAGAATCCAGATGAAGTAGAATTCTCTAGGGTTGTGCTCTCTCTGTGACTGGATGGTCTGACAGCCTGACAGTGTCTGTCAGGTGTCTGTTAGTGAGATGCCCTGGGCGGCACAGTGAGATGGGGAACATTGGAATTCATATGGGTTTCTTCATTTACACTTTAAAAACAAGGAGAGGATGTAAGATTAAATCATTCATCTGCAAACTTTATTGTTCCCAATTCTCCTAAAGCAAAATTTACTTGGAATTCATTATTTTCCCAGCAAAACTGGCATATGGGTAAAAATCTGAGTCATGACAAAAGAGAAAGTTAATTTTGATTTAGACTAAGTCAAATACTCATAGTAAATATTACTGGTCCCAAATCCAATGGCTTCATGGGAGTACAAGGACTAAAGGGTCACAGAATTTACCACCAAATGCCCCTATTTATGATGTGAGAGCCATAGCTTCCCCAGGCTGCATCCAGTAGTGAAAGGGGAGTTACACAGTCCCATTTCTGAACCACAGAGTAAAATTTGATAGGATACGGGAGGACTAAGCTTCCTTGAGGTCTATAATCACAGCACCCCAGCATCCCATAGTGTTTAACCTCTCACCCTAAATTATCAGCTGTATCCTGCATTCCCCCCATGAAGCCTCCATGGCAAGTGCACTCGTAGGGAGAATTCCTTCCCGTATTCCTCCAGTGCTATGTTTTGCTCCCTTCAAGCACGGCTGCCATCAGAGAGCCACATTATGTTTCAGCTAAGAATGGCTCTTATTCACAACAGAACTACAGACTGAATATAAGGGCAATCCTTTCCATTTTCTACATCTCTCATGAGACTGGGTCCAACAATGGGTTCGACACTTCTGATGAATTTAATTTCAGGCTAGTGTGTCCTGAATCAAATGATGGCCACTTATATAAGACTGTATAGTCAATGCCAGGTACAATATAACTGGCCCAAACATCTCTTCTTTTTACAAGTACATTTTAAAGGGTTTCTATTTTAAGTTTTAAAAAGTTAAACTTGGAGAATCAATTATTATATTAATTCATTAATTTCATTGTATTGGTAACTGGCAGAAAGGTATCTAGGCATAATTTTTTAAAATATTTTATTATTTTTATTTTATGTGCATGAGTGTATTGCCTGCATGTATGTAAGTGCACCCATGTTGTGCACTGCCTGCAGAGATCAGAAGAGGGCACCATATTCCCCTGCAACTGGAGTTATAGATGGTTCTTAGCTGTCATGTGGGTGCTGGGAATCAAACCCGGTCCTCTACAAGAACAGTGTTCTTAATCGCTGGCTTTCCAGCCCCAGTATAATATTTGAATGTTTAAGAACATTTTTAAAAACTTATTGTGTGTATGTTGGGGTGTGAACCATGTCATACTTGTGAGGGTCAGAGGAAACCTGCAGCAGTCAGGTTTCTCCACTTTCTGGGTTCCAGAGATTCAATTCAGGTCAGGCTTGATGGCAGGTACCTTTACCCACTGTATCACCTTTACGGCCCCAAATATAATATTTTATGTGTGAACAAAACAAATATACCGAAATGATGGTACTAATCATATGAAAATATATGTGAGAAACAGAAACATTTTATCTTCTAGAAAATAGTTTCACAATACTCAGTGGGTCAGAGAGCATACGGTAATAATTGGCTGAGACATTGCAATGCAAGTTCAGCCCAGAGCACCTATGAGTCAGAGCAGATATGCAAATACCTAACACTTACCTCCATTCCATGGTTTATATCTTCAAGATTAGAGAACATAATGAAAATTGTGAGCCCCACAGCAGATGTCAGGAGAAGTGAAAATACATCTGAAGAAACATCAAACATTATTTTTAGGTGCTAAGAGAATGCTTCATGCAACGTGGCATGCATTGCCACCAATTCTTTCTGTTGGGCAAATATTAGATACATCTTCAGATGTTTTGACATATCATCATAGGTTTTAAAATATTTTCTAATGCTTATAAGATAACGGTGTTATCTTAAAATCTTCCTTCATACAGTTGGGTATAGAATCTGTTCATCAAATGCGTTATAGAAACCTCCATAAAAGAATGATCTCTCCTGAGGGTTCCTGAGGGGGGCTATCCTGCTATGACCAGCCCATCTGAATAGTCACAGAGGAGCCTTGGTACATCATTGCCACCATCTAGTGGGCTGAGCAGCCTGTCCAGGCAGCATTTCATTCTTCATTGCCAGGAGAATGAGGTGCAGGATCTATGACTGACACTTAGGACCCTGCATCGTCAGGGCCATCCGCCTTTTTGAACGGATTCTCTGCCTGTTCAGTACTCTAGCTTCTGTGCTCTTATTTGCAAAGTGCCCAGTGTAGACAATATTTTTTTCTGTCCTGATACATTTTCCTTTACTTAATGAGCCCAGTTCAAGGAACACTTTCTTTTTGAACCCCTTAGTCTTCCTTTACAAAGCTAATTTCAAATAATATACATCACACTCTGCTTTGCGTGATTTCAGTTGATCTATCATCCAGGCTGTGAATACTTGAAAGCAACTGTATCTAGGGCTTTGGAACTGACTTGGAAAAGATGAGTTAGAAACAAACATGCAAAGCTGCTAGATTACTCCTTTCCAACCCCCACAAGTGTTTCATTTTAGAACATAAACTTCCCAGAATGTTTATGTTCTATGCCAAAAATCCTTCTTCTTATCTGCCAAAGCCCACCTGCTCTTGTGTTTGCCCAAGTTGTCAGCAGAATACTCGGTCCCAAACACCAGAATTCAATCCGTGTTATGATATAGATGTTTCTTATAGTTCCCATAAGTGATTAAAAAACTCAAACAGGCATTTAGGTTTTCTAAGCCTAGACCAAGTAGAAATTTGAGGCAATTCCAGAGGCACTATTTTTTAAGACACCAGAATTCTATTTTCACCTTCCAGGTCCTGTACCCACCCTCAGCATTGCACCATACATTATCCAATTTTGGAAGAATGACTATACTTGCTTAGAAGGAGTGTGAGGCAGAGAGAAGAAAACTGAGAATTGTATTTCCCAAACAGAGAAACTGCTCATAATGGTGACACAAAGATCCCAGGAGACGATGTGCCTTCTGCATCGGCATCACTGTTTTCTGAGGCCCAAGAGCTTCAAAGGAGAGAATGTCTCAACTGTTCATCGTGCTGAGGGCCTCACTAAGAACTGGCTGCACCGGGGGCATTAATGCATCCTCAGACCGGTGATCTTCAAAGTAGTGGCCTCATTGAAGAGTGTGATGAAGAACTGGAATGAGTGTTTGCTCTCCTTATGTAGCTATTGTTGAGAAGGAAACCTAATGAACCTAATGAACAGGTTCTGTGGATGTTAGGACAGTGATCTTCAAAGTAGTGGCTTCATTGAAGAGTGTGATGAAGAACTGGAATGAGTGTTTGCTCTCCGTATTTAGCTATTGAGAAGGAAACCTAATGAACCTAATGAACAGGTTCTGTGGATGTTAGGAATTTGAAAAGCAAATTCCGTGCAAACCATTATAACTTGTTTTCAAAGAAAAAAAAGGTTGTTAATATTCACACTTGATTTCATAAAAAATGAATATGTACTTTGTACCTTATCAAAATAAAGTTGAGCTTCTGTCAAAGGCTAAGAAAAGCAAAGATTTTTTTTTTATTTCAAAGTGAAATTGTTTATATAATGTGTCTTGGTGCTTCCAAAGACTTCTGACTTATAACCCAGAAGTAGAAAATTTGTACAATTATGAGTGCTTGGGTTGGAGAGATGACTAAGCAGTTAAGAGCATGCATTTCTCTTGCAAAGGACCCAAGATTGGTTCCCAGCACCCATGTTAGGCAGCTTACAACAGCCTGTAACTCCAGGGGATCCAATGCTGTCTCTTGGTCTTCACAGACCTGTACACACACACACACATGAAAATAAATCTTCTTTTAAAAAGATGATGTGTGTTAGAATATTAGTGTATAAAACCTTCCCCATTTAGAGTTACTAGTTTTGCAGGTGATTCGGCTCAGCAGGTATACCCACTTGCCAACAACTTGAGCTTATTCCCCAGGTACCCACAGATTCCCTCTCACAAGTTGTTGTTTTCTGACCTCCACACACATAAAACTATACTATACCCTTCCCATGCAGCAATGACATTCACTTTTAAAAACACATTAGGAAAAAGTCATTCATAATATAAATAAACACACAGGATTACTTTCTTAAATATTCAGAACCTATAGTGGAGTAAACTACAAACATCAGTAGAAGAAAAGAAATGTGTACAAAGGTGGAAGGATGGTGGTATGGCTTGTGTGTGAAATGGCTCCCATAGGCTCGTTATCTGAACACTCGGTCTCAGCTGATTACATTGTTTTGGAAAGTAGTAGAAACTTTAAGAGGTGGAGCATCACTAAATGAAGCAGATCACTAGGATTTTTCTAGCCCAGCCCCACTTCCTCTCTATTCAGCTTCCTGACTGCAAACATGGTATGACCAACTCTCTCATGCCCTGCTACTTTGCCTACCTCACCAGGGTGAGGTAAAACAAGTAACTCCTTCCTCTACTCCATTGCTTTTTGTCAGGAATTTGGTCATAGTAACAAGAAAAATAATACACATGAATGTTCCTACATGGGAAGACCAAATTGAATAAACCTGAAAGTTCTTTCCAAAGTATCAAAATCTCAAGGGAGATATTTTTAAGCTGGACAATTTATTCTGCAGTTTATCTGGAAGAAAAGAACATGAATGTAAGATATTGTGAGAAGTGAAGACAGGTGAGCATGCACTGCACTACTGCTAATCAAATAAATCATAAAACTGCAATTGCTAAAGTACTTTTGTACATCAAAAAATGGGTTCCCAGACCCAGAAAACAAAGGCTGCGTGTTCTTTCTGATTTGTGAATCCTAACACTGAATCTTTAGATGGTAGTATTTAGCTTGTAGCTGTCCTGGAAGTCAGAAAGGTAGAGAGGGTCCATGGAGTGGTGAGAAGGACCTAGAGAGAGGAGGCAGTATGACACAGGTGTTACCAAGGGAGAAATAGGAAAATGATTGGGGAGATTTAACTAGGGAGAGAGGAGGAAGGGAGTGTAATACAGAAGGAGAAGGAGGAAGGAGAGATAAATAGCTAAAGATGTTTGAAAAAAGTGAGAGGGAAACATTATTTTATAAGCTTACCTAAAACACATACATAATATATAGATGTGTGCATATATGTGTATATATATGTGTGTGTGTGTGTGTGTGTGTGTGTGTGTGTGTGTGTGTGTGTGTAAAGGCCTGATGTCAGAAACTTGTCCCCTTCAGTTTGGATCCATACACTGGTCATCCTATCAAGAGTCTCATCCTTAAAAGAGACTGACACCACCCCTCCCAGCAGCCATCCAATAGTTCTTAGGTAGGGTTGGGGTTTCTAACCCACATGCCCATGTCCATGCTGGAATTTTCATCACACAGGCTGATAATACTCCCTCAAAGAGCCATAGATGATCTAACAAAAATCCCAGGGTTAGGCATGGAAACCCTCCCTCTGAGTTGTTGATCAGGGGAGTTCAAGAAACTCTGAAAACAATATAGGTATTTCCATGGCCCTTGGTTGCCTCCTAGAAGTTGAAGATAAGACCCTATTGCTGAAGACACCACACACTTTGAACAGGGTTTAAAAGAATTGAGCTGAAACTGTCCTGGAAGCACTGCTCCTGGGAGCACTGGCTCCCATAATATCAGAATTGCTATGCAAGCTGCCAAAAGAGAAAAGCTATCAGTATTCCTACCCAGACGTAAGTTGTATGAGCCACAACAATGACCAGTCCAACAAGGCATCCCTAATGGTGCAATAGTGACATTTTATCTTGGGGTTAACCAATGGCTTTCTAACTGGACTTAAGGCTAGCTCGATAAGAGGGAATCCATGCCTAGTACTATAAACCTAGTCAAATACTCATGGTTTTGGGAGGTCATAGTCTCTAGAAGAGAACATACTACTGCCATTTTGAACCAATATAATTTATAACTGTATTATAAGAATTATCTTCATATATACAGATAAATGTAGCTCTCATCACTCATCAAAGAAACTTCTGTTGGCAACAGATGGAGACCATAACACAGATCCACAACTTGCCAAAATGCAGAGAATAAGTGATCATAGGGTGCCCAGCTCTAGTTGATACATCTACAATGCAACCTCTATACCTTAGGCTCAGGGAACATCTCAGAAGAGGGGACAAGAAGAGCCAGGTGACCAGGAAGACTCTGTTAGTGTCTTCTAGATATGACAGGGGTTCTGCACCCATTAAATGTCAGCAATATGGTTGCCTATAGAAGACACGCATAATAATAATACTAGCCAACATGCTAATGTGGTTGGGGGAATTTCATAATGCCCCACCTCTAGATGAAGCACTCAAGGGAATCAGTGGCTGTTGAGAGGGAAATTCAGTTTTTTCCAGGGATGATTTCCATGGTAGATTACCCAATATCAAATGGTCAGCCCTAAATACATGTACATAAGAGCAGCACTAAATGAACTCAGTATACACACACACATACATATATGCACACACAAGTAACAATAATAATTAATTAAAGAAGAGATCATGAATTTGAAAGGGAGTTGAGGGGGTCATGGGAGGAGTTGGCAAGGAAAGGGGGTGTGGATATAATTTAAAATTCTCAAAAAATTTTCAAATTTAAGTTAAAAAATAAATTGGCATATTAATGAAACAGAAAAGGTAGTCTTACAACAAATTCTACATAAATATATAATATGGGGCTGAAGAGATGGCTCAGCAGTTAAGAACACTGACTGCTCTTGCATAAGGCCTGGGTTGAAATCCTGTCACCAACACAGCAGCTAACAACCACCAGCAACTTCAATTCCAGGGGATCCAGTGCTCTCTTCTGAACTCTACAGGTATTGCACAACATGAATGCACTTACATACATGCCAGCAATATGCTCATACACATAAAATAAAAATAACAAATAAAATATTAAAAATAAATACATATGTAAAATTGGCATAAACTTACAGCATCTAATACTAATTAAATATAAGAAAACAATTAACATATATGAATATAGATATGATGAAGTTGGTGCCATTATCAATTGGGGAATGAAAGAATGAAAAGATATTAAATATTCAATAGTCAAAAAAATCTGCTGGGAAAATTGGCTGATTAATTTGATAAACTATCCTGACCCACTCCATTATCATATCAGGTTGTATTAACTTTTTCATTTTCAAAACTGAAAAGCAAAATAAGTCCTATTTTGAGGTAAGAAAAACGTTTCTGTGTGTTAAGGCAATGAAGCAAAAAACTAAAAGGCAAAATCAGCTCATACAGATAAATATGAAAATGGCAGTAATCCAATAGAAAAAGAGAGTAAAATGTACATAGGCAGTTCATAGAAGAAACATCTAGTAGCACAAATATGTTTATCTTCACTGAAGATCAAAAATGCAAATTAAAACTAAAGGATATACCCATGTTTTTAAAGCTTTTATCAGATCAGTAAAATTTTGCTTTTAGTATAGCATTTTTATATCCCATATCAGCTATGTAGTTATAAAGAAAACACTTGAATAAAACAACCAATGCTAATAAAAATTGCTATAAATGCTGTGGAAATACATTTAAATCATATATCAAAAATCTAAAACATTTTCAAAAGGTTTCATCAATTAATTGGTTATCTTACAGAAACTGGATGCTAGTTCAAAGTGTTTATGCAAGGTTTGGTTTGGTTTGGATTGGATTGGTTTGGTTTGGTTTGGTTTGGTTTGGTTTGGTTTGGTTTGGTCTATTGTAGCCCACGCTGCCTCACATTTGCTATGCTGCCCAGGACAACCTTGAACTCTTGATCCTCTTGCCCCTGCCTCTTGAGCACTAGAATTGCAGACATCTGACAATCACCTCTGGTTTTATGTGCTGCTGGGGACTGAACCCAGGGCTTTGTGCATGTTAGGTAAGCACTCTACCAATTGAGCTGTGTGCCCATCCAGTACAAGTATGCTTTGACCCAGATTTATTTATAATGCTGAAACACTAAAGCCGGATATATTAGGATGACCATGCCTCCTGGTTTGCCTGCCATTCTGCTTGAGCATGATATAATTACTAACAGTATCTTCTTCCTCTCTCAAAAGTGTAGAAGGACAGAACACTTTCAGGTTTTGTTTTGTCTTTATTCTTCTTACAGGAATGTAGTGGAGGAGTAAGAGTTTTTGAGTATGTGTCACCAATGTGGGAACATTCGTATGTGCTGTGCTAGACCCTTTATATAAAACTCTTCATTTAGTTCTCCCCACGAGACTGAAAGTCATACAATTCTTCCATTCTACAGATGAGAAAATAGGGGCATAGAATGCTTAATGTTGTTTTCCCAGCATAATAAAGTTACTAAGATGTAACCTTGTATGTGAATTGATTAAAAGACTTAAAAAAATAGCTTGACATACAAGTTTGGGTTTCAAACAATCCCTCCTTGTGGGGACCTAAAGGCCCCACCTTGCATAGGTCCGAAAGGAAGTTACTGGGGGCACGGTCTGGCTTACTTTGAAAGTCTGAAGAATACTTCCGTACTGCTGAGGAGTGCATGATCAGCTCTTGACCATCCTTAAGACCCACCCTCAGGGGGGGGGGGGTTCCCAGGTGCCTTTATAAGCTCTGTAATACCTGTAATAAATGAGTCCCTGCTTGACTAGACTCCGCGTTGCATCTGAGTGTCCCCAGTACTGGGGGCGGCGTCGGCTGCCGAACTGCGTGCTAACTCATCCCCAATCATCATTGCCAATCATCATTACCGCGGGGGTCGATGGTTCGAACTCCCAGCAGTCCTGATGATTCAAAATAAGACAGGCAGGACTCATCTGACTATCGAAAAATGTCTGTGCTTATCTTCACATGACCAAGTTTCGAAACACGGGCTCCTCCATCTAAGGTCATTAATCGTCATTTTTTTATGCCAGAGGGATACAACTATCTTCTCCTTTGCTGGTGAGTTCCAACTCTAGGAAGGGTAGGGGAGCAGAAAACTACTTAGAACAAAAGCTTAAACTTTGTACACTTACAGTTTGTGTATATGGGTTTCCGAAATGGCTTTCCCTTAGAGAAGATAAATGCTGCTGTAACGCAGTTGAAGGTGGAGATGGGCCACAGAGTGGTGCTCTCAAAGCTCAGGACTGAAGCAGGAACCAGAGTTGCATTTCCCGTCCAGTTTCTTTCCAAACTCACATTGGTTGAGAAATGAGTTTGGTTGAACAGAAAACATTCACTACAAAAGAATTGCCAGCATTTATGAGATTTTCTATTCTATTTTATTTTTTATGGAAAAAGATTTAATAACTGCCAGGAGACCGGATTTCAACCTGTTCCAGCTGGTAGCTGGCAAGACATATTTTGTTCACTTCTTGCAATGACAAAGCAGAAATAAAATTCAGAAGAAATCAAGATTATTCTTTGTCTGCAATCCATTTAGAACAGAAAATGTTTTGAGAGGCCTTGGATATCAGTTTTCTATAGAACTGCTTTCAATTTAAACAGTGAATGAACACCACATGACCGGGAGGTGTGTGCATGCACGTGTGTGTGTGTGTGTGTGTGTGTGTATTCTTTTTCATTCATTGACATAAGCCTCCTAAGTTGTATCTCTACTCTACTCCTCTTTCCTCAAATAGCCAAGCATTCTCCTAAAGATCCAAACACAAACCTCCTGATAACCAGGGGTCTATAGCCATAGTGTGCTAGTAGTTAAGTCCTAACTTCTCCGCCTAACTTAGAAGACCTTCACATGCTGACCTCAAGTCTTACCTTTGTCAGTCTTCCCCACTCATACTCCTTACACTGCTAAAGTACTATCCCCTGTTCCTCAAACACTACAAACCGCAAAACTGTGCAGTTAGATGCACTGTGCCCATTAACTACAGTGTTAGCTAAACTTCGACTCTCAGTGTCTAAATCACTTTTGCTGGGAGGTAAGTCTAGGTCCCCCAATCTTTCCTCTTGCTACAGCTAGCTCATTATTTTGAAATTATCTTGTTGAAGTTTTTATTTTCCACCAATGTATTATGAGTTCTTTTTGAATTTTTGTTTTTGGTCTCCTTAAATTTACAACAATTTTTTGGTATCTAGCATAGTGGGAATCACATAATATTTACTCAGAAAAAAAGTGTTTTCAGACCTGGGCTTCCTCAGTTTCAGTTGACCTATTTACAATGTTTTTTGGTTTTAATAATGAAACCTGAAAAATCAATTCCTGTTGGTTTTCTTGGCTAGCTTAAAACTTATTTAAGGACAAGACAAAAACAATATACACATAACCTTAAAACGTCTATGGTCATAGTTTAGTCAACTAGCTTAAGGAAGAAAATATATATCTAGTAAATGTTTATCTGAAACTATTTGTTTTTTTACCCAAGCCTTATTCACATAGTACATGATAATTAAAAGTACCAGACTGGTGGGACTAACCTCATTGGATGTTTAACAGCCATAGTTTGAGGCCTATACTAATGTGGTCAGAGGGACTTAAAAGACAGTTTCTGCCCCTTGCCCTCCAAGGTTGACTAAGTTCCAGGGGACTATGGAACATCTCTCAAAACAGCCTGTGACTGTGATGAGTCACCTGTCCTCTTGTTCAGGGAGGCCATGGAGACCCCAAGAGATGGACTTGAATGCGTGTCCTGTCTACAAAGAGGAGGATCAACTCAGAGGAAATATCTCAATCATGCTTCCAAGTGAAGCCAGACATGGTCGAGCAGGACCTTTGACTTATCTTCACATAGATGAAACTGGTAAAAGAAAGGAGCCAGGAGCTCCTCCCAAGCCCATGTGACCCCTAAAGAAAAGATCCTCAAATGACCTTAAGTGTAAAAATAAATTGATTTATTTGGGCCAACCATATGGTCTTAAACACCCAAAAGGAAAGTATAACCAAAGAGTAAAGTCATCAGTATATTTCTTTAAGAGTTCAAGGGATTACACTTCCCAGATATTAGACTTAAGTCCACATAAAAAGTTATTTAGACAATTATTTCTCATTGATGATTTTGTTCCTAACCAGAAAGTCTAAAATGATGGATAAATTTGTTTTCTCCCCCCATCTAGAAGCCTTTGAGAGGGAACTGACACTGATTCTAACCACTCCAACAGCTATCAAAATACCTGAAAGTAAATCCTGAATCCATAACTCTAGAGTCCAGCCTTGGAAGACAAAAGAAAAATGAAGACGAACCCAATAGAGGGATGCTTTCAGAAGCCCTTGTCAAGAAGTTCCAATGGACTCTCATATGAACATTTGAAAATTGCCCTGTTCTGAATTTTTTTCTAGTTCTTGTCTAGAACTTGTAATGCTAATATCTGTGGCCTTTACTTCTCCTTAACATCTCCTATTCAGTATTCAAATACTTTGTTTTCCTCCTTGAGATAAGGGTTATGCAATTTGGGAGTCTTTTAAATCAACACTGAAGGGGTACTCCAATGGCCTCACTCTGTGTCCCCTGTTCAGCATGGAAGAAGTCAGAGCAGTCTGCGCCCCGATACCCTATTGGCAATTTAGGTAACCTCTTCAGAGGATGGTGTGATAAGAATAGGAGGGAGGAACTGGCTAGGCAGTTAGGGTAAAAAGACCCCAAAGAGCCAGGCATGGTGGCACACGCCTTTAATCCCAGCACTTGGGAGTTCGAGGCCAGCCTGGTCTACATAATGAGTTCCAGGACAGCTGGAGCT